AATCGGTCTATCAACACATCAGGGGTAAATCGCGTGTACCTGATGAATTAATGAAACCTGTCGATAAGTGTAATCTAAAGAAGTGGATTCGTTGTGATGACTTCTTACTGCGTGTATGTGATCGGTATTCCGATCTCGTAATATCGTACAGAATTTAGTACCCGCAAAGTTTGGCACATATTTACGAAACGATCAGCGTTGTAGGACTCGAGGAAAGCTTTACCGAAGGCGGCGGCTTTAAGCAAATTACGTTGCCAAAACGAGTCAAATTCATGACCGGCTGCTTCGATGCAGGAATTGACCGCAAAATTAAGGTCTGGGCGAATGTTCCTAATGTGATCATCAGCCTTTGGACTCTTATTCTACGAAAAAGTGTCATTGTATATGAGAACCCCCAATAATAATATTTCCCATGTCTATCGAAAAATTTCCTACTTCGAAATGTTCTAGGGCGTCAAATAACATGGCGGCCGGAGTGGTCGAACCGATCTTGAAGATTTCTTCGGTAACGTCTTTAGGATGGACGAGTCAAAAAGTTTAATAGCCATTTTCAATAAACGGGAAATAATAACGACGAGAAACTTACTTGGAACTTTCTGCAAGTTGTGTTATGCAGAGTTGAGAGAACGTGTTTTTTTTTTTTTTTTCCTCTAGTTGCTCGATTACGAACCTCGTGCGGCTGATCAGGTACCCTTATTGATGAATATGCAAGAAGACGAGCTGGCCTTGATCAAAGCAATCGAGAGCGGTGACACGGATTTGGGTAATGTGAAGTTAATTGCCATCGTCTGTAAAATACTCTTGCTTATTTATGTTAATTATATAATTCAGTCTATCTGGTCATCATTCATCTAAATAAGAAGCTCCCATTAGGCGAATTTTTCAGAATCATCAGCAACAAACCTATGGCGTGCAGGCTACTTGAAGTATATTGTAAACAACAAGATTTGAAATTGTTAACGGATTTCTATTATCAGGATGATCGACGCGTGGAAATGGCCGACATGACAATATCAGAGAGCTACGAGCAAAAGGTTAAGATTTGTCAAGGTTTTAGAGGATTTTTCTAGTTTCCTTTTTTAAATAAATGCCGCTTTTCCTTCTTGTAGAGCCTGGAAGTCAGAATAAACAATCTGAAGTTAGCTTTGAAGTGGTATCAAGACGATAAAGAGCATGCTTTTGAGGCCAAGGTAGACATCCTAGCTTGATTTTCCAATATTCCATGTTTTCTAAGAAAATTACAATTTAGGCTATTGACGAGCATATAAAATTGCTTCAAGTCCAAAGTCAATTGGAAAAAGAGCTGGAGCAGCCTTTTGTTGGGTTGTCCTTGAGTGAGACGCTTCATAAATGCATTACTTTAAATCATTCTAGCAAGGCAAACAAACTTAAATCTGACTTCAAGGTTCCTGATAAACGGTTGGTTTATTTTTCATGTTTGTTTTTTTTTTTAAAGCTTTCTGCATGTATCTTAATTCACTAATTTTCATGGAAAATCTTGAGCAGGTTTTGGTGGATTAAGCTGAAGGCCCTGGTTGAAATGAGGGGTTGGGATGAGTTAGACAAACTTGCAAAGTCCAAGAAATCCCCTATAGGATACGAGGTAGTATTTTACACTTATCGCACGTGGTTTTTTTTTTTTTTTGTTTGATTTAATGTCCACCATTGAGAATTTCTTAATTGAAGCCATTTGTCGAGGAATGCATCAAGGCAATGCAACAACGAGAAGCGGCAAAATACATTCAAAAATGCGATCCAGCAGTAAGACCTGGTTTGTTTATAAAGATTGGAGATTTTAAGGCTGCAGGTCAGGAAGCACTCTTACTGAAGGATATTCAGTTACTAAGGTGAACCTTTATCTATTTATCTCGTTTTACGACTGTCAGCCTTGAATTTCCCAAATTCACCACACATTTTCCAACAGGGAAATACGAAGTAAATGTACCAATCATATTATCGCCCAAGAACTGGACGCATATATCGCTCAAGCGAGTTCGAGATAAAAAATTTTTATGTTTCTTGTGTAATCTTGTAATTATTATTTGTGAAAATGTATATTAGATATTAGGTGTTTGGTCTATTTTATATATACAGTATATAGACCACTCATTGGGTTGGGATTTTATGTTTTTAAATAGAAAATAATTAACTTTGTCTTCACATTAAAGAACAAGCACTTGAAATCTTTTTGTATTTCAAGATCATGTTTATTAAAAAAATGGTGAGCGTGACGAGATGGGATCTTCGCGTCGTGTAACGATAAAGAATCTTTGCATTCGCCGAGATCCAAAACTCGAGTAACAACGGTCGAGAAATATGGTATTGCAATCCTTTAATAACAAGGATACCATAATAAAGATCTAACGAAGATTGAAAAGATTCTGCATTGAAATAAATAGGGCAAAAATTATTTTCACGAATACGTCAAGTCATCTGATGAGCTTACTAGCAAATCTGAGGGGAAGAAAGCGCGAACGCCAAGGGAAACGGACAACTCTAGCTCAATGGGACCGTGGAATTGTTATAAACGCGATCCCAAGCTCACTATGCGTGACGCGTCGCGCGTTACGAGCGCGACACACTCGATGACAGACCTTGCTCTTGATTTTGATTATCCCGTTCCCCACAGAGAAACACTAGGGCAAACATGATGACCAACTTCCGGAAGGTGAAATCCTTCGGGAAAGGGCAAGAGGCCGTAGAAATTCAGATGTTGAATTGAGGGAATGCAGAGGATCTGAGCATACAGTAAAACGCAAGATAATCTATGCAGTTTAGCCGAATTTGACTGCACTCTAATTAGAATAAAATGTTGAATGACTTGATTTCGAATTGACCAATAATTGTTAAGTGGTTCAACATACTCGTATCTCTTATCTTAATGAACAATATCATATGAAAATTATCTTTTTGTTATTAAAAATATAAAATCAGCGAATCTATAAGAGTAACTTCGATTTTCATAATTACAAACCGGTTAAAAAACCAGTTTTTTTTTATTGGTGAGTGAGGTCAAGTGACGCATGTTTTTACCAGAAATGAAATTCGCATATACTGTAACTAATCAGTATCGGTAAAAATCAACTTGGAAGAATTTGAAATGGCCGTCCGTCAAGTTTCCCGGTTATGCAGTTCGATGTTCCATAACAGTTTACTCCCTGGAGTGTTGTCGAGGAAAAGAAACCATTATGGACTCTCTCAACTTTTGACTACCACACGTTACACTAGTTCGGTCATACCGAACAAAAAAAAAACCGCATTTCCTCTAAAAACTCGAAATGAAAGCGTGCTTCGTTTCTCTACTTCCAGCCCAAACCCTTCCTCCTCGTCCCCTGAGAAACCAAACGAGAAGAAGCATGAATCGAAAGCCAAATCTTTGGTTAAGAGTATTCTTCACGGTTCTGACTCCGTTAAGGAAATAGAAAATCAGACGCATTCAAAGTTATTGGCGCGTGGGAAATATGTTCACGAATTACAAAGTAAATTCTCCATCCATTTCTTTTGATACAACCCATACTGATTTGTTTTAAGAATTTATATTAAGTATGACACTATTAATTTTGCGAATGCTCAACTCATCATCATACTGTATATTACAATAACCGGCAATTTGACGCAACTATTTTCTCTGATATTAGGACACAACGTGAAACCAGAATGTGCCGAGGAGTATATTAAATTGGTGTAAGTTTATAGAATTACGAAATGATTGATTGTTATACCAACTGCCTCATCATTCATGCGTCTCTCAAACTTTACACCAAAGTTCGGAGCATTATCCCCGAATTGCCAATGACCCAGAAAACTTCGTTCACCTTTGTGGTAGCTGGCAGACGGAAATGGGTCTGCTTGATTCTTTTGGTAAGTCGGACCTTGTTTCGCCGCATTATTTGCGCACGCACGGAGAATAACTATTTCTATTTAGTTCATATTTGGGAATATCAAGGATATAAAGGTTACCACGAAACACATAATCGCCTTAAAAATGATCCCGTAAGTCGTAATTTTCGCGGTCATTTTTAACTTTGACATGATGGATGATATTTCGAAAATTTATGTTGTTTCCGTAATCGATGTATAGAAATATCATCAGTTCATCAAACAATTACGTCCCATGCTTCGGAGTCGGTCCAATCAGATTTGCCTTGAATTTGCTTTTTGGCAGACCAGTCCGCCAGCTGTTAACGGTGGGATATATGAATTAAGATCGTATGAACTCAAGGTTTGTGCATTCACCTCATCTGGGAATCCAGCTGACCGACGAAGACGCTTGAAATATTTTATTAAATTAATATCATATGCGTTACCATCATTGCGTGAATCCTGACAGCCTGGCGCTTTATTAGAATGGGAAACCCATTGGTAATTTCATTCATCATCAATTGTTTAATTTATGACCATGCTAATTTTCTCCTCTACAGGCATCGCGGTCTTGAGTGCCGTCGACAATTTTGTGAACCAGTGGGTGCTTGGTTCGCACAACTAGGAGCTCTAAACTATGTCCACCACATGTGGCAATATCCGTAAGTTGAATGTTATGTAGATTTAACATTTTTTTTTCTTTTCGTCACTTAAATTAATAGATTCTTTTCAATTAAATCAGCGATCTCGAAAAGCGTAAAATCACTCGTGAACAAGCATGGCAGGTGGACGGATGGGCCGAGACTGTTTATAGAACAGGTATTACGGAAAAACCTCCGATTGGTCAATCAATATGTACACCTTTCTAATTGCAAAAAAAAAATTATTATTTTTTTTTTAGTTCGTTTGATAAAGTATATGGAAGCCGACATTCTAATTCCTCTCGATTTCAGTCCACTTCGATAAAAATAGTTATTTGATTGTTATGTACATTATCATTTCTGTTATAATTAAATCACATTATAAAAAATTATTTAACAAACACTGCAAAAATTGAGATTTTTCTTTCGCTAAACTCTATTGTTCTCTTGAATAATTGTCTTTTATTGTAGCAGAACAAGTGAGCCGAGGATGTTAAATTCGCGGTACAATAATAATAAAAATTAAATATATTAAATTATTACAATTTTATTTGTTAATATACAGTAATTTGAACTAGTAGTTTATTGAGTAAATTGTAATTTGATTTATTTATTAATTTAGAAATGGTTATTTTAAATAATGCCTTGATATTTTATCAAGTTTAAATTTTTGAATTCAAATAAAATAACTGAGGTCAAAAATTTTCAATATTGATGTTTTTTTTATTATTATTTTATTAAAGATTTTAATAGCTGTATCATAAAGAAAGGATCTACACAATACCTTATCTCAATAAAAAGATATTTATTAGAAGAACAGGAGAATTGAAAATCTCAAATCCCAAGGCAACACTTGAGAATATGATTATAAAAGAAATTAATAAATATACGTATTCTTTCAAGACTTTTTCTCAAAACAACAAAGTAGATCATATGGATATCAAAACTTGGGAAGAAACTATAATTAAAGAAAATATTAAAGAAGAAGTATATCTAGATCAGTTAATAGAAATACTTTAACACAATCTAAGATTCAAAGAAAAGTGAAACTTTTATTTTGATAAATTACTAATCAATCATGGCAAAGAAGAAATGAAAATAGATGCTGTGTGAATTCAATTAAAAAACATTGGAAGAAAAAGCAAATTTCAAACAGAAATAGATAACTGACCTTTTTCTATAAGGGTTAAGTTGATAGCAATCTAAACTATACTCCTAGTAGTTCTTATTAATAGCACAGTTAAAATTTGTACAGATAATCAAATTTGTATCACTAAATGGAAGAAGATGAAAAAAAGGATTTAAAAAGAACATACAAAAGATGGCTAAAAGAAAAAAATTGATCTCTATGAGCATGAATGATGAAGCTAATAAAGAAAAAAATAGTAACCTGAAGCTTACCAAAGTCAAAGCACATTCCAATAACTTTTATAATGAAGAAGTAGATACCTTAATCAAAAAAACCCTAAAACTCCCACTAATCAAATGGAGAGATCTTAACTATCACAAGATTATTACAGATATTAGATAACAAAACAAGACCTTAAATAACCCAATTAAGCAATTTATCAAAAATACAAACAACAAAACAATAGCATATCAATAAACTCAAAAAAATTGAACAAAGAAAAAATGGAGCTATCAAATTTTAAAATAGTAAAATTATATATGAAATCCAGTGTGAAAAAAAATAAAAGATAATTATATGGACAGTTATTTTTGAAGATGAACAAAATATTAAGCATGATTTTTTCGGTTCCCATTTTGAATAATACGTATATAATGCAAATTTTAGGAACACAATTATAGAGTCCGAAAAATCCCTGTCCACCTTCGAAAATAATTACCCATATATATGATACATTCTTTAAAAATCTCAACAAAAAGCTTTCTCATTAAATTGATCAATAATAAGCTATCAATATTATATAAATAAACTACAAGAAGATCTAACTTATATAAACAAGTGAAGTATATTATATGTAATCAACAAGATGAAACAATAAAACACTTGCTAGAATGTTTAGTCTACAAGAATCAATTTCAAGAAATATGGAATAAAGGAATAAATGAAACTCTCAGAAACTTTAAATAGCTTTTATAAAAAAAAAGAAAGAAGACTGAGAAAAAAAGTAATAGACAAAATATCGACAATCAAAAAGAATTAGAAGAGTTTGACAAGTGGATTTCCAGACTAGTAAAACAGATCTCTACAACTAGTCAAGATATTCTAAGTTTTTGTACTGGTTTTGTAAGAAAAAACCTTATTCTAGAAATGGCTAATCTAAAATATCATGATAAATATATAGAAAAAAAAGCTAGAAAATGTATAATAAAGATACAAAAAAGAATTTGCAATTAAGTTTGAAAAGGAATTTAGAACACAAGATGTAAAAAGATTATAGAATAGGAACAAACTCAAGGGATCAGTAAAAAAGACAAGGTAAGAAGACCTCCAATCTTTTTAGATCAGAAAACTATATTCTTAACAAGAAAAGAATTACTATCAGAAGAAAGAAAACTTAAAGATTGAAGATTCAAGAAAATTTTTATAAAAGCAGTGGAATACAGAATGAAGTGGTTGGGATTTTAAACATGATAAGAACATCAAAGAGTGATTTGCAATAATAACCTGCAAGCAATGAAGTTAACAGTTGGAAGAGTTTATATCTGTACTACTAATGAAACAATAAATCATTTCCAAAGTTGTACTTAAAATTTTAAAAAATTTAAAATAAAAACAAGTAAGTTCGGTAGTGATTTAGCTTTAGTAAAACATTTAATAATATAAAGCATATAAATATTTAATAAAACATATATATCTAATATATATATATATAGATATATATATATTTCAATAAAAAAATTTTTACTAAAAAAAGGTTTTAAGTAATTAAACTCTTTCTACTTATTCACACTTTTTCAAAAAAATTTCTTTTTTGATAATTTTTTTGGAAAACTTATAAAAACTTTTCTACATAAAAGCAAACCTTAGGAATATAATCAAATACTTCCAAATAACAAAACCTACTTTGCAACAACAGGAAAAGAGTTTCACTTAACTTAAAAAACAAATATTTCTAGATCATTTTTGTTTTTAGAAAAAAGAAAAAGCTAATTTATAATAGACTTACTGAGATTCAACCTCAATTCCACAAAGCTCTTAACCAGGCCAGTGCAGATTAATATCTTTTTAAGTACTAAAAGAAGTCTCATAAGTAATAGATAACATCAATAAATTAGTAATATCTTAAAGTTAATTAAAACCAAGAGAACATTCAAGTTTTTTTGATCTAATAGCTAAAAGATCACAACAACACAACAATTCCAGATTAACTAATTCTTGTTATGCAAATATGAACACATTAATTTTTTACTTGCTTGACATATATCAAAGCAAACTAATCAATCTATTAATAAAACAGTAGAATATGACAGATCAATAAACTAGAATATGTATAATCAACCAGCACATGTTATCTAAAATAAGATCAACAGTTGATTACAGTCAATTATATATTAATAAACAAGTATCAGAAATATAAACACATAGAAGCCACATATAATAAACTCCTTAATATCAATATAATAATTTATTGCCATATACACTAAACAGAAAAATAATTATATAATAGTATTTATTCAATCATGTGATTAAAAAGACACTCATATAATAACAATATATGTTAATTTTTTCATATCACATAATAATATGTCAATGAAAGAATAAACAATAATTAGAATTAAAAAAAATTAAAAAAAACTCTTTCCACTGATCAAAAAATTTCCTAAAAATTTCCTTTTTTTTTGGTAATTTTCTTGGAAAACCCAAAAGTCAGCCACTACATAAGACAAAAGTCTTTCAAACAAGAGAGAAAC